ATACTACCTTCCACAAAACGCTTGAATTGACTGGCATATATCCAAGCAATAAATTAAATTACATCACACTATTATTTCAATATGAAAAATTCTAAAACCTCTGACGTACATTTGCTTTCAAAAAAAACTTATAAGCTTTCCAGGGCATTGGTTAGTACAATATAAGTCCTCAGGTAATGTTACGGACTTACAGTGCTAAAACCCGGGGTTCGACTCCCCCGCAATTAATAGAGTGCTGATAGTCCATTGTGTAGCTTTTCGTTTTAAAAACAAATTATAGTAAAAATGTGTTTAGTCGTTCAGTAACCAATAGGATACATTTGTGGTGTCAACTCTAAACGAAACAGTTTATTTTATATATATATTGTTGCGTCAGCGAGGTCACATGACTAGTGTCACGCCACGTTTCTAGAACTATCCTGTACCTTGGCGAATACTCTAACATTTACTAGATATAGGGTAGTCTGGTATATAAAAGAGGGTGACAACGTGACGGGACAAGATAGTGTGTGTTTAGACAGTGAGTAACTGATCCACTTAATTTCAACAATCGCGCTAAAACAAACGCTATAACAACAAACGTGCTCAATAATACTCTCTGACTGCATATCGTAGAGTTATATTCGGAAAGAATAAACCAGTTTTATTAAGTAAGGACTTGTGTCGCTAAAGTTTCGTCGGAACGAAGTTACGGAAAGTTAATTAACAAACGGAGACGTAACAATACGAACAGCCAGTGTTCTAAAATTGTAGGTTAGGTGGTATCTCGCACTTACGTCTCCCCTATGTTTGAGCGAGAATGACCAATCACGAGGTTAGTATTAGTCTTTATGGGAAAATCCGACGTTTCTCGTTAACTAAGAAACTTTAGATTTAAACATTCTGGAATAGATATCGATATCGTAAGCACTCTTGTTCCTTATCTTAAATAGACTGATTAAAATGAAGAAAACAAATTAATCAATTCCTGAATCAAGTGAAAGCAAATATACACCCTGTGTTTGGTAATAAATAAAGATTGTTTTGATTTTGTTACACATTGTGTTCAATCTATTTATTTCTTTGCTTAAACTCAGTCAGTTCAATTACATTCAATATCACTTCGTAATTCGTCCTGCCGATCCTCCCGTTATAAAGCGAACGTACTTATTATGTATTACGAGAATAGGCTTAGTTTAATCGTGATTGTTAAAACGAATTACTACTATTCTCGAATACCGAAAAAAAGTAAAACAATAACCGTTGTTCTCTTTGGTTTACGAAAGAAGAATTGCAAAGTAAGTACATAATATATATGAACTATTATGAACTATTCAAACTTAAATTATTATTATTTTTAAGTTTCAACAACTCTCACAATCCAAAATAATATATTAAAATCCTTTTATAATTAAAGCACTAACTCTGTGTCTTCGCACGATTTTTTGTATTCAATGTGAACGTAAAGTCCTTCTTGACTCTGTGTTAGTTTTCATGTTATAAAAACGATACATTTTTTACTTACTCATAATTTGGGTTGCTGACAAATGGGCCCACGTAAATGCAGTTTCTTCAACTTCTGAGGGAATACATTTTTTTTAAAATCAAACGTCTAACCCAAGTGATTTGAAATCAGATATACATACATACATATAAACACACCATTTATAAAATTATATTACTGAGAAAGAAACAAGAATTCTCAGTAAAATATAACAGGAAAACTTTAACGGTTTTGTAGATGTTAAGCCGTTACAATGAATTGTGCTTTATAAACAGTTATTTTTTTTTACTTCAAGTTGCACAACATTTTTTTTAACTTTACACAACCGAAAGCATTAAATATTATTCACCCTTCTGTAGTAAGCGTAACGGTTTATAACATTAGAAATTCGGGGTGAGAGCAGCATAAATAGACCATTGTGAAGCTTTGCGTTTATCAGCAAAGGGAAGTTCTATTCAATGATCATGTTTTAAATTTAGATGTTTGTATTGTTATTTGGCAAGAGGGAGGTTTAATATCACGTAGTGAGCGCGTAATGGGTTAGGCGTTAGTTATGTAAAACCATGGAGACTGTAACTAATAATAAAATGCTTTTTGTTATCATTAAGTGAACTAAACTCAGTATTCTTCCTTTTACTAAATAATCTAAAAGAACCTGTCAAACAATTGAAACTATTACAAAAATAAATAACTGAATTTACAATATGTTTGCCAGGAATGTTTCAACCAATGTTTAATGAGCCATATTCCTTCATACTCACCTCAAGCATTACTTAACAAAGACAGCATCTTCATATAAGGCTTACATCTACGCTAGTATTTTTATGTTTGAGTTAATTAAAAATTAAAATAACTATACTTTTGCAAACGGGAGTTGGTTTTGACCAGTCTCCACTGTCTAGACACTTGATGGTGTGTGTTTTTCCAGCTATTTCATAACCTTTTGGACACATCAACTGCAGACTTTTCCCGGCACGTGTAATGGCTGGTTCCCATATCCCTCCTTCAACATCCATTGCAGGCGGTGTACAGCCTAATATATAATAATAAAAATACATTATGTATTTAGGACTAATATAGAAATTTTGAAATAATTCTAGCCAATGCATTAGTTTACAATATTTCTGTTGTTTATATGGAGTCAAAGACAACTTTAAAAAGTAAATAACTCATATTGATAGAAAACTGAGTTTATATAACTATTTTTATGTCCTTCAACACACAGTAAGCGTACATTGAATATCAAGCAACGGTAAAATGTATATCAAAATATCCGTTTCGATAAATGAAAATACAAAATAAACTTTGAATCATATATTTTTTGATACACTAACCTTAATTGCAGATTTAATAATTTAATGCCACGATGGCTCAGCTGTAAGTTTGGGGGATTATAAAGATAAATTTCAGGGTTTGATCCTTACAGTGGGTAAAGTATAGATATTTCATCGTGCAGCTGAACACTTAAAAAGAAATATGTAGTTAAAACCACATAGGCGACAAAGATATCGAAATTAAAGAATAGGTTGAACAATCACCAAGTTTTTTTATATTTTTATTTAAAGAAAGATACCGTTTCGAGTTAGTACTCTTTGTCAGATCGTACGGGTTATAAGCTGCGCGATCTGACGAAGAGCGCTAGCTCGAAACGTCATCCTTATTTAAGTGAAATATAAAAACTTGGTGATTGTTCAACTGAACGCTTAAAAGAAACAAACAAATTAATGAATAAACTGAACTATGTGTACTTTCGAAACAAAGTAAGGGCTTCGCGGGCTCGCTTTAACATTGTGTAGTTTGGTCGAAACGCTGTAAGTATAGGTGATGTAACCTTTTTCATTATAAAACATCACTTTACTAACAAAACTATTGTCACTCAACTGTGTCTAGTATATTATGTAAACAAGGATACTGACAGCGTTTCACACCAAATATATAGAGATAAAGCATGTCATTACCCCCAAAACTCCTCATAAATAAATATATTACACGAATAATTTCGGGTGTAAGCAAGCAGTAGGTGACGGCATCTTGAATACATATTATATTGTTGAAAAGGAAGTTTTTAAGTAGGTTCACACTGTGTCAACAAGCTGGCCCAAAACACATTCGAGTTGGGAACCAATAAAATATTTTGTGAGAAACATGTTCTCATTAACATTCAACTTACTCATATAATAACACCTTTTTTGCCCCAGTAGTCGTCAGGGATTTATCAGATCTTTTAAGAAGTAAAGTTTTTGTTGCAGTTTTGAGTGAATCAGAGAAAATGTGAAGATGGCGGGTGTGAAATTTTGTGAAGAAAAGAAGAACACGTAATAGCTATCAGCCATTAATGAACGACCTTAAAATTGTGTCCGAAATATTTTAATCGAGGCCATCTTTCTTCATCTTTTTGTTTATATAATCTGCAGAACTTTACGTCCCACGAAGGAGGTGCTCAGTAACTTTTATTTATTTGGATAGTTGAATAGCATGGTCTATAAAGAAGTGCATGGTGGAAGAACTGTGTGAATGATTTGGGGGGGGGTCCGTACAATATATCATTACTG